GCTGGCATTAAAAGGCATGCTGACTTTGAACTCTTAATCTTCCTCCTGAGTGCTAGGATGACAGGCATGGACCATTAAGCCTGACTTCCTATGCTGTTTTCATAAACCCAGCATTGGTTGTCATCTTTTTGTTAGTAGAGCACATGGCCTCGAAAAGTAGGAATAGCAATACATCCCTCACAGAGTCAGACTATGGAGTTAGATCCTACATTTAAAAGAACTTTGCAAAGTTCACATTTGCAGCATGAATGGTTCACAAGGGAGAAGGCTAAAGGAAAGGGAAACAGGAAGGAAGCACAGGCGAGGTCAGGGCCGAACCCTCCCAGCCTCCTCAGCTCAAGTTGGCTCCAGCCCCTTGCAGTCTCTCCCCTCCTCCCTTCCTCCTCTGGCCCTGGGTCCTGCTGGGTGAGATTTGGGGAAAAAGAGGACTGTGGAGTTGAGGACAGGTGGGTTCAGGAGGAAGAGGAGGTCGCCACAAGCTCACCTTCACTGACCTTCACTGAGGAAGGAGAAACCCTGCCTCTTTCCCTCTGCCTCTTTCCACCATATTCTCAGAGCTGACAAAAGTGGATTTCCTCAAGTTAGACCCTCCTGAAGGCCACGGGCAAAGGAGGGAGGTGCTGTACTGAATGCCTTTGCCAGGGTCAGATAGAGTTCAGTTGGGCTTACCCAGGGAGTCAGGTAGGCACCGCGCCTCCTGAAAGAGACAGACAGCTATGTCACTCTGGTGTGGGATACCAGGTATGTGGGCTGTTTCTCATGCCTGTAGGGACATCATTAAGGACCCTTCCTTTGTCCCCCATGGCTGGCTGGCACTGGTCCTACTGACAGGAGGGGTGGGGTGGGGTGTCGCTCTGGCTCGAGAAATGCTCTCTGTTTGCCCTGCCATGGTCCAACCCAACTTCTGGTCCTGAAAAATGCCAGCCTGGCTATTTCACATAAGACAGAGACGCAACAGCTGCTGGGAGCAAGTTGATATCTGCAACCTTCTCTGTGACAGAGGGACAGATGCTCTGTTTAAAATGTCTCAGTGAGTCAATAAGGGCATTCTTTTTTGTTTTCTGAGCTTCCCTAGCCAAAATGGGGGATTAGTCAGGAGACAGCTGCAGAGGTGTGGCCTTGGGGAAATCCTATCCAATGCACAGGATGGCCTCAGGGCAAACAGTTTGCCTCCTTGACCTGGACTTGACCACAATGTCTGCCCAAGAGTGTCAAGAAAGAGCTGAGCTTGGGACCCTGAGTGGATGGACCTGGGCTGAGATCAATTGGACCATTTCTTTGCAGTGTGAATGTGGGCTTCTTTTAGAGGCCTTCCTTTTAGAGGCCAGTTTCCACATTTGCAGTGAGGAGATGCACCTCCCTCTTACCTAGCACTGCCTTTGGGATTAAATAAGTGAGGTGCTTATTTAAAGTGTTCATGGTGCCAAGAGCAAACTCCGGAGTCCAGTAGTTGCCAGCCCCTCCTCTTACAGAAGAATGGTGGCTAGAGGATTTTCCGTCAGAACAAATTCACCACAGGTGTGTAAGCACCTAGGTGTGATGCGGCTTCAGTGCACATACAAATATCGTTTACTAGTGGGTCCCTTCAATACAGGGTTTTTTTACAATCTTGAAACTTTAAAATCTAGTAAAGGGAGGTGGATATGGGATGTGGATTGGTGTAGGACTGGCCAAGAGAGGGAGGTTGGGGGCTCACAAAGGAAGCTCAGGGGTGAGAGACTGAGGAGAGGGCTCAGTCAGGAAAGTGCTTGCTGTATAAGCCTGAAGACCTCAACACTCATGAGGGGTGTGGATGCAGCCCAGGCTGGAGAGTACTGGGTGTTCTTCAAGAGGACTTGGGTTTAATTTCCAAAACCCACATGGCAACTCATAACTGTCTATAACCCCAGTCCCAGGGATTCCAGCACCCTCTTCTGGCCTCCACGGGCACTAAGCTCACACACAGTGGACAGACATACATGCAGACAAAACACCCATATACACAAATCAGTTTTTAAAAACTGGGTATAGCAGTGGGACGTGTACCTGTGTTCCTGGTGCTGGAGTGGTGTGTGTGTGTGTGTGTGTGTGTGTGTGTGTGTGTGTGTGTATACAGAAGTAACCCTGGGGTTTGCTGGCTAGTCAGTCTAATTGAACTGGTGAGTTCCAAGTTCAATGAGAGACACCATCTCAAAAAATAAGATGGAGAACAACTAAGGAAGCTACTAGAGATCATTTTCTAACCTTCATGAGTACCCACAATACACATGTATACACATACCCACCACATATGTGCACAAACATGAACACACACAAAAGAGACACAAACACACACAATCAGAGAGAGAGACAGAGAGAGAAGGGGGTGGGGAGATCTGCTGTAGCAAACTCCTTGGGAACCAGTGACAGCTTTAGCATCTCTAGGAGCTCTTAGACTTCTGCCCTCCAGACCTCCCCTGGTATGAGGTATGCTAGGACAGAAGCCTCAGCCAGACTATGAGGGCACCTCTCAGTATCTCTAAGACTCTTCCTTGCCATCCTTGAGTCAGTAGCAAAAGTCTTGATCCAAACTTTGGTAAATATAAGAGATGAGCCATCAATTTATCTTCTTCAGGACTCAGTTTCTTCATCTGAAGAATGGGAATGTCTGCTCCTAGGACTGTGCTGAGCATTCCAAGTGCTTGATGAGGTGCTACCCAGGGATAGAGAAAGGCAGATAAATGGCTCCCCTCCCCCATGGGCCCCTATAAGCAGCTATCCCTTGGGGTCAGAGACCACCTGGGACTTTGAGTGGTTGCCTTGGCAATACACAGCTTGGTTGGCTCCCACTCCATCTTCAGTTTCAGCTTAAATGCTAGTCCTGCAAAGAGGTCTCCCAGACTCTGAGACACGTCTTACCAGTTACATTCTGTAATTCCCTTTGTAGCATGTCTGAGTTGAATAGCATAGTTGACTGAGTGATGACTTCCTTTCTGTACTAGATCTTAAGTCCCACCAGGAAAGAGAAGTTTCCATTGCACACCCACCCATCTTATCACCAGGAACAGTGTCTCAGGCATATGGCAGATAGGAGTGGCATAAAAATCCTACTGAGCAAGCTAAGGCCTTGTCTGCCTCATGCCTTTTCATGCCTCAGCCAACACCTTGGAGGCAATGCCTGGGGCCCACTGCCATCCATTACTCAACCCCCCCTTATAAAAACCATAGTAGAAAGGCATGGTGATATACGTTTGTAATCCCAGCAGTGAGGAGGCTGATGCAAGAGGATGACCATAACAAATTGTCCTAGAAAAAAAAAAAAAAAGAAAACAAAAGGGGAAGGTTGGTTCTCTCTCCCCTCTCTAGTCAACAAAGAAGTTGACCCAGTGACAGCCACTCTTTTCATTCTCTCAGCACCCCAGGCCCCGCCCATGATCCAAAGCCTGTTGGTAATGGCTCCATTTATTTATTTATCTTTGCACAAGGCTGCCCTCTGCTGGCTACACATGCAGGAGCGACTGGAAAGGATGGAAATCTGTGTTCAGAAACCAGGAGGCTGAGGAGGCTGAGGCAGAGTCAGGGAAGAGGTTAACCCCAGCCAGAGGGCTTGCAGGTGAGAAGCTAGGCCAGGTTTCCCTCCTCTAGGATGGTTCTCTCCAAATGTAACAGGAGAACCTAGGAAAAGCAAGAAAGGAAGGGCTGTACCATAGGGACTGTACCGGCCATTGGGTAGTGTAGGGTCGAGGGGAGGGGGAGGCTAGTTTTAAACATAGCTCATTGTCCTCAGTGATGTGCTGGTCAGTCCTTAACAGCTAGAGCTCAACACACACAGAGCGACAGACATATGTAGACACACAGAAATATACAGACATTCTCTCACAGAGAGAGACATTCTCTCTCTCTCTCTTTCTCTTTCTCTCTCTCTCTCTCTCTCTCTCTCTCTCTCTCTCTCTCTCTCACACACACACACACACACACACACCATTTACAACACCCATATATTGTAAATCTTCCACTATGGTCAGTTTCAAACTACCAACACAATATCACCACATGAGATGGGGGGACCCTCCCTTGGCATCCATTATCTGGAATGTATACCACAAAGCTACCATGGACACAAACAACTTCAAGACAGGGTAGAGTCATGGGGAAGTGATGAATTTTGAGTGTTCATTCCAGTTGTTTCCAGTATAATATATTTAACCTTAACTGGGAGGTTATATAATTTAATTTTTCATAATGGCTGTGTTTAATAATTGAACGGCAAAATTCTGGAAAATGCAATTATCAACTTCATCAGCCTACCAGTCAGTTAAGACGAGGCTCCAGCACACCAATGATTCTTCGCTCCCACCCTCCCCTTCCAGCCCTGCTTCTGTCCCTCTGCCGCCTCCTCCTCTGCCTCCTCTTTCTTTCATGGCTCTCCTGGAATTCTGTGTGGGAAGTCAGGGATGGAGAGTGTGGAAAAGATCTCTGCTTCGGCTGTTCTCTGAGTCAGGAACCATAAGGTGTGAGGAAAGAGGAGGGAGAAATGCAAATTCGGTGGCTGGAGGTGCCCTCTCTCTGTCTCCATCTCTCTCTCTCTCTCTCTCTCTCTCTCTCTGTCTGTCTCTCTCTCTCTTTCTCTCTCTCTCCTCTCTGTATGTGTGTGTGGTGTGAAATTTTGCAACTGCGGCTCACAGGCTGCCTAGCACTCAGACTACAGATCACTATTTACGTGAGGGAGCATTAGTTCAGTGAGCCTCTGAACACGGTACCTGGAAAGAGAGGGCGGTTGGCAGCTAGGTGAATCGGCCCACAGGAAGCCTAGGCAGGCAGAAATAGGCCTCTGGGAAAAGGCTCAGGTTGATTGGGTTCCCGTCCAAGCGGATGTCTTCTAGCTGCCGCCGGTGCTCATGTCTGTGTTCCCTGGTGTCACAGAAGGTGTCTCTTTCCATGGTCTTGATCATGTTGTTCTGGAAGAAACAGCATATACTGAAGGCTCACAGCCTCCCATGTGGCTGGAGAAACGGAAGCAGGTAGAGCCAAGGCCACTCTGCGGATAAGAAGAGGACACTTGTGGAGAGTGAAGAGAGACAGGGAAGAAATTAGAAAAGATGGGAGAAGAAGCAGGGAGGCCCTGAGGGGATGAGAGAAGACAGGAGGCAGGTAAAGTGAGGACACAATAGCAGGCGAAGTATTGACGTGTGGGGGAAGGAAATGTTTTAAAAAGGAGTGGAGAACATCATTTATACAGACCATGCTCATCCTCACCGCCCGGAATTCCCCTGTCATCTGCCTTCCACCCTACTCACTAACTTTCGCCCTTGGTCTGATCAAGGCTTCTCACCTGCAGGTGCAGGGAACGCAGGCTCAGGGGCAAAGGCCCAGGGATGGAGTCCAGCAGGTTGTCTGCCAGGTAGAGAAACTGAAGCTTCTCCAGTGCCTGTGGGGACACAAAGTGAGGGACACTGGGGGGTCCCATCAGGCTCTGGTCCTAGGAGGCCAGTGTCAGGTTAGTCCCACTCGTGGGGTGGGGCTGTCTCTGTCTCTGTCTCTGTCTCTCTGTCTCTCTCTGTCTCTCTCTGTCTCTC